AGCAGGTGTGGAGCTGATGGCCCATTGATACGGCACATTAAAAACCACAGCGCTCTCAATCCCTGCGCTCCTCTAAACCGGGAGTCGCTCTGATTCTCCAGCAGATGTGAGAGACTCTCGGCTCATTTAGCAGCCAGCCTGCTTCATCTAGCACAAACTGTGAAATCAAACACTCAATACCTCTTTGATGCTGGATGTGATCCACTGTAGGCCTATAACGTGACAGATAATCGGCCGTTATTGCAAAATAAGTATCGAATACAGGTCACCCAGTCAGCAGAAATGATTCATTTGGTCTTTTGTTCCATATCAGACAGACGGTTTGTGTTTAAGTCTAGCAGTTTAATGAGGGAGAAAGTGTGCTGCTTTCCAAGTTTTGGGCGGATGCTGAAGTGCACAAAAAGCTGTCAAAATAATGTTTGAAAACAAAGAATGAATTAAGACTTCCAGGAATATTGTAATTTTGCTATTGTTCTGTAAAATAATAATAATAATAATTTATAATATTATTATTATTGTTATTTATATTATTATTATTAAATACATTTTTATACACAGAATAGTATTTTTATGATAGTAATTTTTTACATTTTTATAATTTAATAAAATTAAAACATTTTAACAACAATAATAATAATAAAAAAAATATTTACCTTTTTACAAAAGTATTTTATTATAGTAATTAGTTACATTATTATTATTACTATTATTACTTGTTTTTTGTTTGACATAAAAATATTTTCATTATAGTAATTTGTTTATTTTTATAATGTAATAAAACTATGTTAGCAGCAGCAGCAGCATTTGTTAGATTTTTAAAATTGTATTGTACAATAGTAATTTCATTATAGCAATTTGTATTATTTAATAAAATAAAAATGTTTTTATTACAATAATAATAATAAATGATTTATTTTACTGTACAATAATATTTTTATTGCAAGATTTTTAAATAATAATTTATTATCATTTTGTTTTACTGTACAATAGTATTTTATTATTGTATGAATAATGCATATTTTATTTTACTGTACAATAGAATTATAGTATTTTTAAAAATACATTTTTACTATTATTATTATTATTATTATTGTCATATTACTTTTTCACCTGTTTTATCATCCAGCAGGTGAAAACTGTGCGTCTGGTCACTTAGTAAAGTAACTAGCACTAATGATGCATGAGACAGCTGAGGCTCATAATCAAACACCAATATGAGCTCATATGCTAATATAATATCATATGTGGAATTATTGATGAAGTCTTAAGACGGATCATTAGTCAGATATGGAGATATGGCTGTACACATGATAAATTACGCTCGTTCTCACAGCGATATAGTCATTAATGTTTTCCCAGAATGAATTGTCTGTTATAATGCTGGATCCTCGGACGGTTTGTAGTATTAATTCTCATCACAGCATCTACGCTTTCCAATGAAATCACATCCGGCCTTGAGACTGGATCTTTATTTCAAGGCTGTAGTGAAGGCATGAGCTTCAAGCATCTCAAGCATCTGGGTTTTATTAGGATTCTTGTCCACAGACATCTTAATCCTCAGACGCAGCAGAACTGAAGACTAAGCCCTGAAGGTCCAGGAAAGTGTGTCTGTGTTTCTGCAGGCACTGCTGTTTCTTCAGCTCCGTGCTGGTCTCTGTAATTCTGTCCATAATCCAGACATATATCGATCTTCTTTCATCTGCAGATTCGGCCCTCAGCGTTCAGCTGACCCTGCTTTTGTCCTCTTATCTCTCTTCATCTTCCTCTTTATCTTTTACTCTAGTCGTTCGGTATTGATAATTATTTACATTTTTGTAACCTTTTTTAAAACAGAGCAATATAAAAAAAAAATTTATTTAACCACTTTTTTTTAAATTAACCCAATTTATTGAGACAAGCAAATATTTTTAGTTTTAACAGTCAAACACAAAATCAATCAAAATTAAACAAATATCAAATTTCTAATGTTTTATATGCAGATTAAATAGGTCACAGGAGGGCGCAATGAGCAAAATAATGCAGCACATTAAATTGTCAACGCAAGGAAATAACTGTCTATAAAAAAACGTGCATTACGTCTAAATTATACATCTTTCTATACATCTCTTGTGTGACGCGAGAGCAGCAGTCGTATTTGTCTGTCTAAAAATGCGCTGAATTTCCATTCTGTGTGAATGGCTTGATTTCGGTTTTAACCTAATCAAGATCTTCTACGCATTGAGCTTTTATATTTCTCTAATAATTTGAATGAATAAAGCAGCAACTGCACGTCTTGTGGGCTAGACTAACAAAACATTAAAATGCAACAGTGTCACTTACATCATCATCACCGCATCTCGTGTAGTGGCCGACCGATATATCGGCCGATATCTGCCATTTTTCAAATATCGGCATCGACCGATAAGTTTCTCTGTTTGGCCGATGTGTTCAAGGCGAGACTTTTATTTTGACGGCGCCGAGAACGGCTGCGGCAGCGCCTGAGCACACAGTGCTCACATTCTCCCTCTTATTCTCTGTTCTGTCTAATACGGATAGAAGTCTGTCTAATAATCAGATAGAACTGTTAAACAAAGGAATTAAAATGTATACAAAAAAGTATTATAACGATTGCTTTAATATTATTAAAGGCAAACATTATAATACTTTATCGTTTGCCGTCAGCATTCCGCAAATACGCATTTATATAATTTAAACAAATCTTCGAATGACTAATTGAATCTGTTGTTCTGTAGCATATGCAGCAAAAATATTTTAGAATTGGCGGTTTATTCTTAAACCAATCAGCGAGCTCGAATAGTGGAAGCAAAGTAACAGTTTAATATTTATTTTTTATTTAATTATGAAATTAAGATATTATGTTATGACTTTTTTTACATCAATTTTTACATATTTTAACAATATTATTATTTCTTTTAATAGTAATTGGCGGCCCCCCTGCAATACCATGCCGCGACCCACAGGTTGAAAACCACTGTTCTAGAGTATAAGTATGTTTATTTTACACGTTTATTTTCTAATCCATTTTCAAATGATTTCAAATTTCTTAAATATGAATGAAAATAAATAAAATTATATCGGCTTTATATTCTTTCCAAGATATCGGCATCGGTATCGGCTGTCAAAAACCCATATCGGTCGACCACTAATCTCGTGCTCCGCTAATGACGCACACCTAACATTTGATTGTACTATTTTTGCATTCAAATGCAAATGTTTATTTTAAATTCGACTAATATTGATGTTTTTATTCACAATCTCCTCATCACAGGCAGGCACAGCACTCAGCATGTGTTCGTGTTTGTGTGTGCGGTCTGCGTCACTCAGAGCACGTGCCTATATCGTGCATTATATCGAACATTTTTTCTATCGATATCGAAGAAGGTGTATCGTCGATAAATATCGATACTGTTTTGTCACCCAGGCCTACTGGATCCTGTTCAGTTTGATTGACGTGTGTGATGTTGGTTTGTGTTTTAAGTGATTGGCAGGTGATCTGTGACTCTTACACATGAATCTTGTGTCTCCGCAGCTGTTCCTGTTCCAGTTACTGAGGGGTTTGTCTTACATCCATCAGCGCTACATCCTTCACCGAGACCTGAAACCACAGAACCTGCTCATCAGCGACACCGGAGAACTCAAACTGGCCGACTTCGGTGAGAAACTGACTCTCATTCACTAATAATTACATGGAGTTTTCGTAGGATAAACACTTTTTTTATTACATATGTTTACCAATTTAAATTAAATATGAATTGTTTGTTTAAAAGTAACTCTGGCAGATATTTTGATAAACAATACTGATAACAAATTATAAATAATTATTAATAAATTATTAAATAAATATTTAAACATGATTATTATAAAATCTGTATTTTTGTAAATATTAATATTTTAATTTATTTCTTTAGCAATTTAATATACATTATTAATATAAATTAATATAAATGTGTTTATAAAATGAAGTACATTTAAATGTACATGTATGATTAATTACCTTTATTTTATTTGTATTAATTTATATTATTTACTGTATATATGTCATTGCCCAGTATATATAGATATGCTTAATAAATATGACTGTGTATTTATAAAAAAAAATTTGTATTGATATTGTATATTAATATTTATTTCAGAGTAAACAATTTAGACTTGAGTTGATACGTTAAATAGATAAATATTAATATTTAATAAATAAACATTTAAAAACAATCCGATGCAAATAAATAAATAAATATAAATATATAATCATATCTCCACCATCAGACTGTAGCTCATGTGATTTGGTTGTAATTAGGGATGTAGCTTAAAAACACAGTTTTTTTTCTTTTTCTTTCAGTTTTCAGCCTTTAGAATATTTAATGCATATCTGGATATTTATGCTCTGAAATAGCTTAAAATTGTATTTTTATTGTTCAGCCAGAGAAAACGGTCATTGATGTCAAGAAACTTAAACTCAGTTCAATTAAGAAAATGCAGTAATAATCTAGTGAAAATAACCAAGGCATGTAGTAATAATCACTAAAACATCTGACTGTATTGTTTTGGTGTTTGGTTTTGGGCTTCCTGTTCTTCATTTATATGTGTGTATGGATCATTTAGTTGTGGCTGTTTTGACTGAATATACTGATACTGGCACTGGTGCTTTTTTTTTTTATTGTAGCAGCAGTTTGGTACTGTAGTACCAGTGCGCTAGTGTGTGTGTGTGAGAGTGTGTGTGTGTGTGTGTGTGTGTGTGTGTGTGTATCGCCATATGTCCAGTCACCTGTCACAAGGGCATTATGGGTAGACACAGACACACATCACTGCATTGACTGCTTTTCCAGAGGCACTAGAGAGTGACCAGGCCTGTTGAGTCTGGATCAGCAGCTAAACACACGACACACACGTGTTTGACCAGCAGCAGAAGAGCCATTAGGGAGAGGACAATGAGCCGGAACAACAGCACAGAGACGAGTGACCCGTCACTGATAGTTAAACTGGTTATAGTTCGGTTCACCTTCAGCTGCCTGTTTAATGAAATCACAACAAAAGACAGCCGTGACCACCTGCTCCCATAAAGCATTCTGTCTCCCAACTCTCTCAAACTGCTTTGAATATTTAGCAATAAACTTAAAATATATTATTTAAAAAATATCTTTTTTTTAATATAAAATAATCGTTTTTTTAAATACAGTATTTTATGTCAATTTAGTTTGATAATTTTTAATCATTAGTTTTAGGTTTTTTTCTTATACTTTTAACAATATTGTAAACAAAATTAAAGCATTTTTTGTTTTTAAATATTATATTTTTTAACATTTTGCAATAAACTTTAAATATTGCATAGTATTGTATTTTATTTAATATATAAACTTAAACTAATGAATAAAAATGATTATAATAGTTAAACTTAAAATATTGTATTTAACAATATTTTATTATATATATATATATATATATATATATATATATAATTAGAAAAAAATAGAAATAATTAAAATATAGAATATTTCATCGTATTCTTTATAAAATATTCTCAAATGCAGTACGCTTAAATTTAATTATTTTTATTAATTAATTTAATGAAATGTACATTCAATTTACAATTAATAAAAATGTGTATATGGGTGTATATTATTTAGTATTAATTTATTAAATATTTTTAAATACAAGTTTAAAGTTTATTGCAAAAAATTTATTTATTTGAACTTTTATACTACTTACAGTAGTAATATAATATAACTTCAGTAAGCAAAGCTAACTGTTGGGCTCTTCAGTAAAAAGCTGTGAGAGAAAGGAGGAAGAATCAGAGAGAGACGTGATGAGAGGCGGTCAGGAGGTGAAGAGCAATCACAGCAAAGAGAAACGTCAACCAGTGGAAGAAAACAGAGAACTAGAGAGAAAATGAGCGAGACAGACAGACAGATTGACCAACAGATTGCTTCTCACATACCTGCTGCGACGCTGATTCTTACACTCAATTAGAGCCGCAGCGATTCGAGAGTCTCCTGACACACACACACACACATACACTCTTACACACACACACACACACACACACTCACACACA